AGAGAGAGAGAGAGAGAGAGAGAGACAGAGAGACAGAGAGATGGAAAGAGAGAGACAGACAGAGAGAGAGAGAGAGAGAGACAGAGACAGACAGACAGACAGACAGAGACCAAAACTAAAACCAAAAAAGTCAATAAATAAAAATAAATGAAACACATAGATGTGGTCGTGCAGACGGGGTTAGAGAGATGAGTCACATGAGATGATTAGAGAAAACCAGAGCGTTGTCAGTGACTGAACACAGTGTGTTGGAATGAGTCCAGGTCTTAGTGAACTGGTCCATGTCCTGCATCTGACTGGAATATTTAAAATCTATTTGGACCCTGGCCTTCACCATCCTGCTGAACAACAGCACTACATCTATATCCACCATGTCCTCCTCTTTCCTCTTCCTGCTCACATATACTGCCATCTTAGCCTGCCCCAGAATGAAGTTTAAAAGTTTGCACTTCCTTTCTGCTGCCTTTCTGTACTTAAAACCCAAGATAAAAACCTGTACAGAGAACTTTTCTCCAGCACTGCTGAAAAGACTCTTCAGGAGGGTGAACAGAGGAGTGAGACGTGTGCACTCACTGTAGCAGTGGAAGACTGTCTCCCTCTCACCACAGAACACACACCGGTCAGTGTGCCCTGGGGCGATGATGGACAGAAAGGAATTCACTGCTACTGTGCCATGCAGTACCCTCCACTGCAGGTCTGCCACTTTCTTTATAAAGACTCCTCCAGGGAGGCTTCACCTCATCGCCCAGCTGCAGGTGACCCCTCCATGGAGTGTCCACACGGTTTAAAGTCCTTTCATTGAGACACTTGACCATGGCCATGTACAGGGCCTTGCCAGTGGCCTCCTGCAGGCTTAAAGCGCAGTGCTGTGCATTTAAAAACCAACCAGAGCAGTCTTTAAAAACCGGACGGACAGTGACAGAGGGAAATGGATCGTCAGTGCAAGGGGCAATAAAACCTTGGGAGTGCCGGCTCAGTAGGAGGTGTTGGTGTCCAGTCAGGCAGCCTCTCCAGTGCTCCAGCAGTCTGCCCATGCTCCTCACGGACCAGATCCCAACACCAGCTGCCAGGGCAGCTGCATCTTGTAGTCCAGTTCCAGTCAGGTGGTCCACAGAGCCCAGAGTCGTGATCCTGGCCTGACGGAAGATGTCCCTCATTGATATTCCTGCCCAGACAGAGGTGCTGAGCTGTTCTCCATAAACCACAGGCTCCTGGAGCAGCCAGTGAAGGGAGACTGTGTTCTTCTCCCTCGCCATCAACTTCCACACAGTGAAGGCTCCCCGGTAGAGGGGTGGCAAGGGTGGTACGGAGGTCTGCCGTGCTGAGGTCCATGAGGAACAGATGATGTTTTAGTCCCAGGCCAACAAACTGCTGGAGTATCACGTGGGCCAGTGGTCTCCAGACCAGGTCCTTGGGGCCGTACAGCAGTCGCTGGATAAACTGCAGTCGGAAAGCCGCTCCCCTTCTGGCCAAGTGGACGAGTCCTTGACCGCCCTCCTCTTTAGGGAGGTAGAGGACAGCTTGAGGGATCCAATGAAGTTTGTGCCAGAAAAAATTGACTAACATAGTATGTATTTTCGAAATAGGTTAGGAGGAGGGTCTACACAGGCCAGTCTGTGCCACAGAGAGGATGACACCAAGTTGTTGATGATGAGCGCCCTCCCTCTGTATGACATGCTCGGTAGCAGCCATCTCCACCTCCTGAGCCTGCCTTCCATCTTTTCTAGCACATTGTCCCAATTCTTGTTTAAAACACTCTCCTCGCCTAAGAACACCCCAAGGTATTTTATGCCCCCTGTCTTCCATGTCAGTCCTTCTGGTAAAACCAGGTTGGTTGTGGGCTTGTTGCTGATCATTACTGCTTCGCTCTTGCTCCAGTTCACCTTTGCTGATGACATCTCGTTAAACAGTCCAATGTTCCTTTTTATTGTGTCAATCGGTACGTTTACATGCACAGTTTAATTCCACTTTTAATCGGAATGAAAGGCCACTCATTCTATCTTTGCTAAAAACAGGGGCAAACTGTGCTCTGACCTTCAAAATGTGACCTGATAAAACATCCTGCGCTTCAATGGAGTGAGGATTAAAAGCCTTATTAAAAAGCACACCAACTCCAGCACTATTAAAAGATCTGTGGCTGAGAAAAACCTGGCCTGGCCACTCCTTTTTCCAGTCTCTTTCATTTTCGTCATCACTATGGGTTTCTTGAATAAATAATACATCCAGTTTCTTAAAATCAATAAGTTTACACAGAGAGGCTCTCTTCACATCACTTCTGGCACCGTTGATATTTAAAGAACCAATATTAATGTTAGTCATAGTGATATAAAAAGAGATCAGTAAAAAAATGGCCATAATAGTGTGATAAGACATTCTAAAATTAATCATTGAGGTCAGCAAGCTTCACCCTGGCTTTTGTGACAAACTTGTTGAGCCTGTAGACCTCCTTTGCTTCAAAGGAGTCCTCCATGTTCTTCAGGCGTGTCACCGACACAATGAAGCCTTTCAGGTCAGGGAAGAAATTCTCAACCTGCACAGATGCTTTCCTTTTTGTGTCTTTTAGGAACTTTTTAATCTCTCTTAATGAGTAAGTGGAGGTCTGAGCCTCCTGAGATGGAGTCATATCACACTCCTCACCCACCTCATCCCCACTATCTTCCTCCACCTCCACCTCCTCCTCCTCCTCCTCCTCCCCCTGACGCTCACTGATTTTCCTTTTTCCTGTTTTTTTATCCTCAGCCATGTCCTCCTCCATCACCTCATTCACCACCTCGTCAACATTCACATTATGTTCCTTATCCTTCTTTTCCTGTTTACTTTATTTAACAGGTGTGACCGTGCTCTTTTTAGCAGGAACTTTTTCCTCCTGGCTGACAGCCTGCTCCTGCTCCATCTCTTCCTGATCACTTTGTTCTGCAGTCTCATCAAACCGCTGCACACCGGGCGAGTCTGACTCAGCCCCCGGCTGCTGCGTGTCAGGTGAGTCCGCCTCACCTGAACCCTTGTCACCATCAGTCGCCGCATCAGCCGCCGCAGGCTCCAGAGCACGGCGCCCCAGCCGCTGGATGCCGAAGCGCCCGGCTCACCGGGGGCCGAAGCCCCGGCGTGACTGGATGAGGCACCGGGGCCCAGCCCCACAGCGCATCCAGCAGCCTTCCTGGCCTCAGGGCAGGCTCGAGCCAAGTGCCCCTCAGCCCCGCAAGCAAAACACTTTGATGTCTCAGATGTTACAAAAACGATGTAATTCAATCCCTCTACCTTGAAGCTCAGAGACAGGTTCAGATCTTTGACTCCATCTTTGAGCACCATGAAGGTCTGCCGCCGGTAACACACAACGTGTTTTATCTCCGGTCGGGTTTTACCTCCCATCATCATCATCTTTATCGGGGAGATGACTTGTCCGTAGCGGGACAGTTCTGCGGCCAGATCCTCATTTTTAATGAATGGTGGCGCGTTGGAGATCATGATCCTCCTCGCCGGGTTAGCCAGAGGAAACACCGGCGTGAAGGCATCATTGATCACCACGCCACTTTCCACCACTTTCTCTGCCTTTGCCACATCATCCAGGAAGATGACTATGGCACTGCTCATTCGTGAGGCAGCTTTAACACCTTGGAACCCCACAAGCTCTCTGATAGCATAGGCTGCATCTCCAACTGAACAGCTGACTGCCGGCAAAAGTTTGACAGCATGTCGCCTCGTCAGTTTCTGCAGCTCCTCCTCCTTCACTCCGACACCGGGCATGATGCCCGCTGCCACACACACACAGACCGACACAAAACTCACAAACTACACATAAACAACAAACAAACAAACAAACAAACATAGAAAAGTTTTGAAAACGCACTCACCACCGTCGATCACGCCACACTCGCTCATGCTGATGTTCACGCATGCGCACAGAGAGAGAGAGAGAGAGAGAGCGAGAGAGAGAGAGAGAGACAGACAGACAGACAGGCAGAGAAAGAGAGACAGACACAGATAGACAGAGAGAGAGACATGTTTACTAAAATAGAGGATGAAAATATAAACAACATTTTATCAGTAGAAAGTGAAACATAAACAAACCTCCAGTTTGGTTGAAGCGCTGCTTTGCAATTTCAATGTTGGATTTGGAGATCTGCTGCTGACCCAGAAAGAGCTCAGTCTCCCTCTGCCAGTACTGAGGATCATCCTCTGTGACTCTGCTCATCCAGTCCTGTTTGGGTTCTGCTCTCCTGGTGTTACTGTCATAACGAACCACTTCAACTTCATCAACCAACCCAACAGCCACAAACTCTGGGAAGTTTGGGACTTGAGAAGAGCCAGTCAAGAAATACTTCAGAGAGTGAGTCACTGTGAGAAGAGTAATCATTTCAGTTTTCAGAATTACAGTTTTATACATCACTGAACAATGTTATTTTCCTGTTGTTTCTTCTTCCTGAAGTTTTGAATCACAAATTTGAACTCTGAGTTTAGTGAAGCTGAAACTCGCTGCAGTTCTCCTGACACATTTTACACCTGGGTTGTGTTGCTCTTTT